AAGAAGAGGAAGGATGAAAGACGAGCCAACAAAGTGGGGAGAAGCAGATCGGAGGTCTGATCCCTCTGCAGAGCAAACACCCCCGAGGGGAGCGCCGCCCCCCCCCCCCCCCCTCCCTCCAAGCCATCAGCCCAACACTGCCCCACCTCAGCCCCCCCTCTCCACCTAGATAGACACCCCCCCCCCCCCCTCGTCTTCCTCTTTCGGAGGGGCAAAAAGAAAGACAAAGTCCGATAAACAAATCCGGAGAGCCGGCGGTGGAATGTTAAGCCGACGCCACAGCCAAGAGTCCCTACTGCCTTTGTGCTCGCACGACCTCTGACCCCTGGAGTTCACCGCGACCAATCGGGGGACAAACTCGCAGCGTGTGCTTCGTCAAGAAGGGCAAAGGAGGGGGTTGGGAGGGTCCCGATATGAGAGGGTGGCGGTGCCAAGGACTCGGCAGAGGCAGCCGGGGTGAAAGGGGTTTCCTTGCCCCCCCCCCATCATTTCTTAGTATGAGGCGTGGAAGAGCAGCCGCAGGCGGATAGATTATGATGAGACTTGAGAATGAGAATTTCCATCGTCTTCGTAAATAACTCCAACAAGCTGCTCCACATCCCCGCCAACGAAAACAAGACGTTCGATTCGATTCGCATCACAAACAGCGACAGTAAATACGGACGCGTCTGAGGGGCGGCAGGTGTGACCGTTGAAAAGGTGAACGGAGGAAGACGAGGGAAAGGGGGGGCTCTCACTCTGTTGTTTTTGGGACGATTTAACTAATTGATGATTGCGTATCATTCCTTCTGCTTCAGAGGCGCTGCCAGGTCAGATTTGGTGCTCCCCAAATGACGTATCGTCACGCAGCGGCTCGTGGGACGCCTGGTTCGTCGCGCGTTTGCCTGCATCAGTTTAATGTGAATTCAAGTGTAAACACTCAAAACCGGGCTGACGTTTATGGAGAACAAAAACGGCTGATGGAGAAGCCTTTATTCAGTAGTGTTCAGGTACTCTGGCGCTCTATGGTTTTTTTAGTGTGGCGTTCAACCGCATCGCTGAGGCATTTCCTGGGAAAGAAAAGGCTCTCATCACACCTGCGCTGGAAAAACACACAAACACGGAGACATGCGCTGGGAAGCATGCACACGCACATGTAAGCACCACATGCAGAGTCTTCTGAGCGTCGGCGTGGGAGTGGAATAGCAGGGGCTTTTGAAAAAGTACCTTAAACCTATGTGTGGCTTATAGCTTTCCTAATGTTCCTCTGAACACACAGAGAGAAAAGCAAGGGGGGAACTGGGGGCAGGTGAGAACACGCAAAGACATTAAGGTTTAAGGTGAGAGAGACAAAAGGTGATTTAGAAGTGGTGAGAAAGAAGAGGACGAGGGACGGGATGCAGAGCGGGGAGACATCTGCATCCTGGCGCCTCCGTACCCACAACATGGACCTCAGGCTGGGAGAGAGCATCACATCAAACGCTCGCTCTCGCCCAGTCGGCCCGCCGCCTATCACGTTTCAAAACAACGAGAGGCCTTTTTCACGAGCTCTGCTGGACTCCATTCTAGCCGATATCCGTTGGGGTACGTGATGTGCAGCGTGGTCACTAGATCAGCAGGTTCATCCTGGAGTTACTCTCAGAGTCAAGTACTCCATCGGGTTTAATGAGGCTTGACATGTCGCTGTGTACACTCGTGTGATTTCTCTCACGCTTAATTGATGCTTTTTGGGATGCGCCGCTCCACGACTTGCGGAAGCAACGAGACCAAACAGCGACAGGAGAGGAGGAGGGGGAGGGCGGGGGAGGGGAGAAGGGAAAGGAAAGAAGAGGAGGGGGACTCGACTGAGTTGGGGAGGGTCTAACAACCACAAATCAAGCAGCGATCAGTCGCCTCGCTTAGCGTTTCTGGAATGTTCCAGCCCATCGTACCTGCAGGGAGCGGCAAGTCCTACCAAGCTCGGCAGGAATTCAACCGGGGGAGGGTGTCCCCGGCAGTGAACAAGTTTTCAGCATCCTTCTTGCACCAAGGAGGGACTACTTTTTCCACCACCACTGGGTTAAAGGCCCACATTGAACGGACTGCGTCTCAAATTAGGAAACAAACATTAGAAAACACTACAGGAGAAGCTTCTAGCTGAGGAAAGATTTACTGATACACACAAGCAGCGTGGTGGGTTTATTTACTCATGCTGGTGATTTTGTACTGCAAATTTATCTTAAAAGCCAGAAGTTTGCTGTTCAAAAGTTGGTATTTGATGATTTATTTGTTGTTGAATACAATAAATTAATAAACGGTTGAATAAAACACAAATGTCTTGACCTACTCTAAGGACAGTATGAATACATTGCAAGTGTTGATTAGCACACCTTCACGAAACAATGAAATAATGTCACAACAACGATGTCATAACGATGATGTCATAAAGAGGATGTCATCACGATAGACACTCTCGAGCCAGTTTTAAGAGTCTGTTAAATTGATTATTACGAAAATCAACACAGCGGAACAGTAGGAAGAATACAGCCAAAGAGCCAGAGCTGTAAAGGAAGCGACCCAAAAGTATCAACATGTACCATTTGTATTTAAAAAAAACACCTGGATGATGCTTTAAGTCAACAAATGGAAACATCAACAGGAGATAAGAGGAACAATGCAAAGGCCTTTCCCAAGTTCCCAGGTTGTACAGAATCTCCTCCCTTCTCCTTGCCATTCCTCCTCACCCCGGTGTGATGTTTTCTCTGGTCCGACAGCTGTGTCACCCTTACAGACACTTCTGGCTCTCTGTGTATGTTCGCTGAAACACTCAATGGATATAACAACCAGGCCAAAAAGAGGTGGGCTACAAAAGAACTGGCTCTGGTGCGGCTTTGGGTTTGATTAATAATGTCAAGAAAAGTAAAGTAGCCCAAAAGATACACATACTTCTTCATTCACTGTCAGTTATTGTGGAGAATAAACGTTGTTACCTCCCGGTAGCTTGTAGCTGGAGAGCAGCCTGAAAACACACCTGCCGGTTTTAGCATCCTAACAAACCGGCAGACGCGCTGATAAGCTAGCTAAAAAAACGCTAACAAGCTGCTCCAAAAGACACACTTATTTCCAAATGCTGTTGTCCATGTGGCTCCATTGACCTCCGGGACGCTCTGCAGCTGGTAGGCGTGAGCCGGACGAGTCGTGAGATGTAAGAGTGAATAAAAGAGTTTTAGCATCATATCAAGCTAGCAAGCTCACAAGCTAAACGATTCTAACACGCTGACCCTCGACCCCCCACGATAAACAAAGAGTATTCCACAAAATTCAACTGTTTTTGTCAAACAAATGATAGACTAATCAACATCAACTGAATCCTGACAAAAGAAGGTTTTTATCTCAACAAATAGAGGCTAAAATGCTCAGCAAGTAACCCTGTCTCTCAAACATAATGTTTACAGACTACCATTTTCCAGCAGCAAATACTTTACATTGTTTGGAAAATGCAACGGCACATGGTTAACGTACTTTATTAACACTATTTTTATGTTTTCCTTTAAGTTCTACTCTTGGCAATAAAGCAGTAATTGACACGTTTCACTGGTTCCATCACATTACAGCTGCTGCTATTTGAGAAGGTTGTTCTGCTGATGAGTAACAATTACATCTGCAAGGTTCTGGGCCCAATTTTAGAAAATGTGAATTGTAAAATACTTCAGTAATACACATTCCAACATGAACCAAATTCCAGTAAAGCGCGTTTATACCGCACAGAACACAATGTCTCAAACGTTTTAAATGAATGAAAGTGTGAATACAGAACGTTCTTATGCTTTCAGCGCGTGAATTAAAGATTAAATTGAAAGTTTTTAAATCAGTCAAAAGGCCACACTAACTCCAGGGCTGGACCAGGCGATAGCCAAAGACCGTTTCCTAGGTAACCAGACCACCCAATGACCTCATCCGTCAGTCACTCAGCACACGCACATTTAGAACACACAAGACAACAGGGAGATGGGGAGGTGGGTGGAGGAGTCCATTCAAAGTCAATGCAGCACCATCCCATGAGTCCCAGTGAGACGCAGGAAGCTTTTTGCTGCTGAATTGCGTTCGTGTTTCGCTGCCCACAACAACCGTAGCATTTCCTGTGACTCGGCTGGTGAAGCAAGGCACTACACCTGTCGGGGGTTGAGCGTTTGAGTCCCTCTGCCATTCAGTGGTGAAGTTCAGCACAGGGCTAAAGTGGATTTTATCATGTGTACTGTAATGCAGGGCAATGTTTTGGGAAACTTAAGACCAATTTGTATTATGCTATTGTGCATTTTATTTAATACTGACCTGTTGCTGCATCACGTGGTCTGATGTCTGACATTTAAAAGTAAGATTTGAGGACATAAAATGAGAATAAAAAGCGAAACAAAAACACTTTGCTAAATGCCTTCAAAGAGCCTCGATACACCGATGAACTGCACACCGTGCACGATGTTTGAACAATGCACGTTTGAGTGGAGCAAAGGAATGATCCCTGTTTGAGGGCAGAAGATGAGTTTAGCAGCTGTCATAAAAGGTGCGGCTCCTCGCAACAGTCTGTCTGCTGCTTTGAATATTTAGCAAGGGGGCGGGGCTTGCGTTGTAAGTGCTGCTGGGCACGCCCCCTCCCAGCCGTCAGCTGCTTCTTTCACGCCCCCGGGCCGCTAATTAAACTTCTCATTAAAGCTAATTTAACGGACAGCGAGCATCAACGGGTCGGTGGGCAGCGAGCGCGCGCTGTCCTTAAGGATTCGTACAGTGCCACGAAAAAACCAGAGGCTCCACCGAGACTTGTGCACGTCTCTCATATTGACAACATGCGCAGAAAACGTTACACGTCAACGTGCAATTCGTGCAACAGAACGGCGCTAAACGTCCACACGGTCACAGGCGCGATGCAAAAAAAACAAACAAAACACAACAACGTTCAGCTTCGCGGTTTTTGTGGCGCCTGAAATGACCCCGAGTGGAGAGACGCTCCACCTGGAGGAGCGTGGAAATAAGCATGAGGGACTTACTGCGTGCGCAGATCTCACCGCCACGGCGACTGCGATCACACACGTCCTGCCGGGGAAACACACGTTTGGTTCAGTTAGTTTAGACACATTTATAAAGAAGCAACAATGAAGCGTGTGAGACAAAACAAATGTCTTACAGGAGTTTCATTTTTGTTGTCGACCCGACGGGCAGAGAGAGGGGAGGTGGAGGTGGAGGTGGAGGAGGGGTGGGGGGGTTTGGGGGGGGGGTACCGCAGGTCGAGACGCTGTCCCCTCGTCTTCACCAGAAAGGCACTTCAGACGCGCTCATCGACGACTCCAAAAAAAAAGAATCCCTCATCTACCCGGAGAGAGACACAGGGAATGAGAGCGATAAAGTAGTCCCGCCGCCACACACACACACACGCAGTCGCACGCGCACACAAAACTTCGCGGACACAACCACAAAACAGCGCTGTAAAAAAAAAAAACACACACACTTTTAAGAAGCGACTTGTTTCATTAAAATCGGAGCTTATCCAACTCACCAAAGTTGCAGCGGTGAAGTCGCTGCTGCGCTCTCCGGCTCGCTGCGCTCGGACTCAGCAGCGCAGCACAGCAGCGCGGAGGAGGAGCCAACGCGTGTCACTCATGCGCCCCCCGCGCCTATACGAGCCGCAGATCAGCACCCGACGCGCACACCGGCACCGGCTGGTGCGGACAGGAGGCCGTTCACACCCCGCAGTCTCCGTTTGGACGTTATACCTGCAAAAAAGAATGTCTGTATTATAAAGTGTATTCTTATGATGCTTGATCATGAGCTGATGGAAAACGTTACGTGCCGTCTCCTGTACTGTATCCCCTTTGGTGCCAATGCATCCTTAAAAAGTTTCTTATCAAACGACACTGCACGTTTATACCAATATACGGCTGAGGTCACAGTTAGCCACGTGCCTTGCGTCACTAAAATGTCTAAATTTAAAAGTGTTGGTCATCATACATACTTGGCGTCGTGTATCGCGTTATGGTGACGTAATTTGACAAATCATCCGACTAAAGTGTCCTCTCAGATAGTGTTTTGCTATCAGTCGCACCTCATCTGCTGCTCTAAACATGGTGCAGACACCCAGTTACTCAAGTTGCAAACAGTCCTCATTTAGCCCTTGAATGTTCTATTCTGGTTCAATGACCCGAGTGCATCCTCAACACTTGTCACAGCGTTTAACAGACTGATTGTGTTGGCATTACACGCTTTTGTTGAAATTATTCCCTTTGATAGAAAACTGCGGAGTACCACTGGGAACATTCCTGGGCCCTTTTCCTTTTGCACTTTGGTGGCAACACTTTGATATATCATTCAAACCTGCTGGTTTTCGCAGAGTTTCCAGACCAAATGTCACTTAAAACAATATAAATGGAACTGCTGTCATTAATGGTCAAATTATTAGAAACACCAGTCAGTGTAACAACATACAACAACAAATCCAAATATAAAATTAAGAGTTCTCAAAAACTGTTTTAAAAGAAAACACTAGAAATGATTACGCATTGGATTTTATTAAGTTAACAAGCTGGTGACTGCTGTTGTGTTTGGTTTAAGGTTATGTGATGTGAGAGGCAGTCTGCCTTCTGCTTCTGAGTACAGTAAGAAAAGCCTGCAGGCCACAAGGGAGAAACAGCTAAAACAGTTTAAAATGCTGAGAGTGACAGTTGTGAAACTGATCATTAACTCCTGGTTACTTTACAACTTCAAGCCCCCATTAAGGTCGACACCTGCTTTTAGTGCGATGAAGAGGCTTTGTCATGAACATTTGATGATAAATGATAAATATAATGTAACCCATTATAAGAAGAATAAGAGGTGGGCATTAATGTCATGTGGGTGTTTTAGGCGGTTTAGACAGCAGCTGCATGGATGATTGACAGCGAGGGCAGCTTCCATATTGCTCCATACGAGATGTAAAAGAATTCCTTCAAATAAGGAACACGGGATGATGTTCTGTGAGTTTGTCTAAAGTCAATTTTGACTTTTGTTCCATTCCGCCGGCAGCGCAGTCGAAAGGGAGCATTTGGCCCCTTAATAATCCGGCAGGAATGCGACGTGTCTGGGCCTATACGAGATGTCAAATAAAAGGTTTATGTCAGACCCTTTTTTCTTGTAGCTCCAGGCGCTGGGGAGGATCGGGGAGGCACGCAGGAGGAAAGCACCAAATCCATCCGCGCCTGAAAGGTACTAAGAGTATTAAATCGTTCCTAATTGGAGAGTGGTATTTGAACAAATCCTAACTTTGACTCAAGTTGCACCCTTTTCCTTTCCAGAGTAAGTCCGCCTTAAAGACCCTTTTCTTTTGGGATCTTTACTTTAGATGAACCTGCGCGTTTCAGTGCAGGTGCAGCGAGCCAATATCAGTGCGCCCCCGGGGCGGGAAGTAGATCCGGCAGCGCAGCGGCACGTCGAGGAGAGGAAAAGTTAGAGGCGGACTGCAGAGGCGCACGGTGCCAGAGCCAGGACCACTGGGAGCCTCTGCAAGGGCAGCGACAGCCGACGCGCCGGGAACAAGTGCCCTTTTCTCACCAACTCCATCTACCTGAAGAGCGAGCGTGCAGCGGGGGGGGGGGTGGGGTGGGAAGGGAGGGGGGAGGGAGCGAGAGAAGCGGGGCTATGACACGCGAGTAGGGAGCGCAGTTAAGAGAGTTCTTTGACGCAGGCGGATCCTCGTTTTATTCACCCCGCCGAGATGAAGCGACCCCTGGGGAGCCTGCGACGGCTCGCGGCGCCTCTGCTCCTCTTCGCCCTGTGCGTCGCGGTGCAGCGATCCGAGTCTGCGGTAAGTGCGCTCCCCGGTTCTCTCCCCCCCCCCCCCCCACCCCCCTCACCACCACCACCACCCCCGTGTGCCGTTGCAGCGCCTCGTCCTGTACGTGTGTATTTATATGCGCGTGGCCGCTCGGACGCCGGAGAGGCTCCGCTGCTCTCAGTCAGCCGGCGCCCGGACGCCACCGGCTCCCACCGGCGGCCCCCGACTCCCACCGGCGGCCCCCGGCTCCGGTTTATAAATAGAGAGGCTCGCTTTATAACAAGTGCATATCCTCTAACGCTTATAACAAGAATGTGAATAATCCTGTTGCATCGAACGCGCTTAAGCCGAACACGCATCGCTGTGCTGCTCATTTTACTGCCTCGTTCCTTTAGTCTGCGTTGTAGTTTCATGGAAGAGGTTCCCTGCGCGGTCGCGGTTCTCCGTCCCAACGACGCCCGCGGCGCGCGGCTCTCAGGGCCGCCTCGCGCTCTTTTATTCTACTATTCCACCAGACGTGGACGAAACGTGAACGGCGTGCGGGTGATTCGAGAACACACCAAAAGGGGATGATTTCTGCTGCTGTCCGCCTGCCCGTTTGGCCCTAAAACGCGCGGTGCGTAATTGTTACGTTCGGTGGCATCCACTTCCACGTCCCGGAGGAGCGGGGCTGTGCGGTGGACGAATCTCCTCTTTGCAGGTGTGTTTTTGTGGTACACGAACACGTCTTTATTGCATCCCAACACCGGATCGCGTGCAGGAGACCCGCGACCCGCGCGCGCGCGCGCGCATCGGGGTGGAACGTCCCTTTGCACTCGCGGTGCAGGATGCGTTACTTTAACCCCGCCGCTCTCTGCTACTTCTCCCACCACAGGGGGGCGTCGACCCCCCCCCCCCCCCGCCTGCCTCATGTCATATTCCAACAGGCCGCCATGAATATTCACACGCTCATTAATAATTCGCCGGGGCTACAGTTGCGCAACGAGGTCCCGCCCACACGCAGCGCGTCCAATCAGGACTGCTGCTCATCAGCATGTGAGGTGTGAGCCTGTAGCACTTTTTTAAGCGCTCATTGGAGGCCTTTGCGCATTTTTAGGCTCGCATTGCGTACACGTCACTCTGCTATAAGGTGTTGAAAGTTTGAAAGAGGCTGCGTCCCTCCGGGAGTTTATGCATCTTGTCCAAACAAACAACCTAAAGTGTGAACTCTGCAGGACCTTTCTGCTGTCCCAGTGTGTTGCTGCAGCACGAAACAGACTTAATGAAGATGTTTTATTCATGAACGCGTCCGTTTTAGTTAAACCAGACGTGCATAGAGGGCTTCGCACATATTTAACTAGAGGTAAATATGTTATTTATTAGTCTCCAACTAGGATGGACGGCGCTCCCGGTCACATGTTTACTTCGGCGCTCAGCGGAGATCTCTGAGGACTGTTACTGAGGGATGGAGGGAGGATGCAGGTGCAAGTTGTGTGGACTTTCTCCACCTGGTTCTGTGTGAGTTGCACTCTCTCAGCGACGCCCCCTAGTGGAGACTGTATGTGCGACACAATGCCTCCAAATACTTTAAATAAGAAAGGGGGAGGGGCTCCTCGAGTAAACACCTTCATGTTACTCATATAGTAAACATAAAGTAGATGATTGGAGATGATCATAAAATAAGCAACTATACACGTACGCGTCTTGTTCGTCTGCTAATAATCCATTAGCCTTCGATAGAGCGTGTGTGTGTGTGTGTGTGTGTGTGTGTGTGTAGTCCCGGCCGAGATATGAATCTACCTCAGTCAGGTGAGGGAGTTCAGCCGTAATGTATACCTGGGGGTTTTCCTTTGAACCCGTCATGCCGCGCAACCACAAACACACACTTCATTTGATGCATGCTTTCCTGTGAGCGTGCGCACACACACGGGTTGCCTCACCTTTTACACGACCCACGTCCCAGGTGGAGCTGTGTGTGTGCGTGTGCGCGTGTGTGTCACCCTCTGATTGCAGAGATACGTCTGCAGAGCTGCACCTGAGTTTGCCTGCTCCTGTGTGTGTGTGTGTGTGTGTGTGTGTGTGTGTTGTATTGAAAAAATGTCCTGGCTTCACCAGTTTGTTGCCATTCATGACGCTGCAACGAATATTTGTTTTTTCCAGTGTATCTCGTTTTCTCTCCCTCCGTCTCTCCCCCCGTCTCCCGTCTCCGTCTTTGTGTTTGTCCTTGAAGGCAAATTCCATCTTTATCTCACCTGCTGGGAGAGATCGGCTCCTCAAACCAGCACCGACCCCGTTTAGCTCCCTTGTGTCGTTCCCAAGCAGTACTTTGTGTGTACTTGTGAGTCGTCGTGGTAGAACTCACACTGCCGTGTCAATGAGCCGTTCGGATTAACAGGTGGGGAGAAAAGTCAATGTTTAGACGGCTAATTACTTCTATGCAGTACTTTCACTGCATGCAGGAGGTGCAGAAGTACTACTAGCTGTAGCAGCAGAGTACCCTTTGTTTTAACGCTAGTACTAGAAGTACTAACTGCAGTAGCTGATGGGCCTAGCTCCGCTAGTAGGAGAACTTTAGTTAAGTAGCATTGGTAGAAGTTGCAGCAGTACTTTGAGTACCAGTGGGTGTGTTAGTAGTAGTAGTAGCAGTATAACTAGCAGCAGTACCTGTAGAAGAACTACTTATAAGTTATACATTTTAAATGTTTAATCCGCGTCCTGCTTCGTACTTTTCTTCCCGCCGGGTTCGTTATCATAATCTCATTAAATGAGATTATTTGCGTAAGACATCCGTCTCCCTCTGGTCGGCAAACACGCCGCGTTTGTTGGAGACCTCGATATTTGCTTCATGCATAAATGTTGTTAATAAACCCCCCTTCCTCCCCCCTCCTCCCCCCTCCTCCCCCACAGCTTACGTGTATTTTTGCTTTGTCGCTAACAACAGTTTCGATTAGGAAGCATTCCGCCAACGTCTGGTGTGTTTTAATACGGCCGTATCGCTTCAGATTTAAAAAAATTAAGACGTGTTTTCTCTCCTTCAGAGACGTTCACGTGGGATCCGAGGTGGTTTCCGGAGGGGAAAGTTGAGTCTGTTTGTCCGATCTCGTCCTGGGGATCATCCAACGCTTTACTAATGTTTGCATGTTAGCCAGGGACACATCTGGAACACGATTCATGCGATGTTTGTCCGATAACCCGACCGCTGCGTAGGCGGCAGCTGTGCGAGTGGAAGACGTCGGATCGGCGCTCGGCTGGAGGCCCAGGGACAGATTTACGTATTGAAGATGTTTATTTGTTTAAAAACATTCCAATGATATTCTGTGTGTGTGTGTTGTGTGTGTGTGTGTTGTGTGTTGTGTTCCAATGGCCCAAGTCCACCTACACTGCGATCCCAGGACATACCCCCCCCCTCCCCTCCCACACACTCCACAGCCAGAAGGAAAAACAGAGCCCTGCTTAAGGGACAAAGTGGGAAAAACACATCGCTTCAGGTGGGAGAGAAGCAATAAAGAAGAAAAAAGAAAAAAAACGGATGAAGGAGAGCAAATCAATGCGCACGGAGCCGGGGACTGAAACAGGGAGCATTCCTTCTTTCTGCAGAAGAAGAAGAAGAGGGGAGGGGTTTAAATCTGACCTTTGGTCTACTCGTTCCCCCTCACCTGCTGAAAAGTCACCGTGTTTCTTCCTTCTTTCCTCTTCTCATTTGCCCAAACGCGTGTTGTGGTCCAATCCGGGCTTCCAGGTGAAGCTCCAATGAGAGTTGGAACTTGTGAGTGTCTCGCTGACACCGACTCAAGCAATCAAAGTATCAAGTCCAAAAAGGCTTTTATTCTGAAGAGGTCAAAGGTGCCAAAGCAACGCGACCGGCCAACTTCATGTCATTTCTCCACTTGTTATTTCACTCATGAGGGGTTCTGATCGCAGACGAGTCCACCGGACGCGTCGGGGAAACCGCTATTCTCCTTCTTTTCGTCCCACCAGATCCGTTCATCTCACACGGGGGGGGGGGGGAGCTGATGGCGAGCGGCGATAAAACCCGCATGCACGCAGCCGAGCGCGCAGTCTGCGGCATGAGGTCGCCTCGCTCTCTCTAATGCACCTCTCTCTCCCTCTCTCCACCTGTTTGTCTGATCACACATCTGAGGAGGAAACAGGGCCGTCTGCTCTTTGCCGGACACCATGGATGCATGTTTGGCCGTTGTGGCGCGGGAGGGTGGAGGTGTGGAGCCGTGTTGTTGCAGCACTTGGAGGTGGGAGGCAGCCTGTTTCCAGTCAACAAGCCGCCTGGTAGAACAGCTTGTACGTTTCCTTGGGAACCGTTGGTCCTCATTTTTCCAAAGGAGGCTGTTGGTTGGACCCTTCGTCACGTCTCGCGTCCGTTATACGTCCCGGTTTAATACTTACGTGGATTACACGCGGCTTTAAAGTGTTTTCATTCATCCCTGGTCGAGCTGCAAACGCTTCATGATTTATGGTTATGGTTAAACGTCAGTGCGACGTTCCATTTACTGTCATTCACACACATTCACGCTGCTTTAATCCCGATGCACTGGTTCCTTCGCCGTGTCTCCTTCCTGCCCCGACACGGGGATCACAGCCCCCCCCGGGGGGGGGTCACATCCTAATGACCTGCACTGCACACGGAGTAGACACAAGAAGCTGTTTGTACTCCACGCCGAGCTGCGCGGCGCCGGAGGAGCCCGGCCCTGACCTAATCCCGGGGCCCGGGCAAGCGGGCCCGGCTGGAACGCCGCTAAGCCGCTAGCGTGCGGCGGGGGGGGATAACGCTCAGAGCGAGGTGCACGGCGGAGGCACCTGACGCCCCGCCGGCCAGGCAGAATACTGTTGTTTCTTCTCTTGGTGTCCTGTTTTGGATGCAGAGGGGCGATTGTGCATTCTTCAGGACTTACGGAGGCTTGTTGTCCTCGCAAATCCAAAGTCAAATGGCATTCCTAGAAAAACAAAGATTGCAGGTTTTTTGAGGAACTGAAAAACATTCTAACTTGCTTTTAAAAAAGATTAAAATCTGAATAACGCATCATAGCGTCTGAAAGGTGCATCGGCCCATTGTGGGCGCACATTTTCCCTCCCGAGATGAGACGCTGAGATGCCACGGCCGACTCCGTCTCCAAAGATCGCATCGCGTCGCGCGGCGAGGACGCAGGGAAAAACGCAACTCACTTCGTTTAGCGCGTCGAGCCTCCTGAGGCCAACGCGCAAACACCGCTTTGAACGCTTTTCGTCTTTTCACCTGCACGCCGCCGTCTTTCGCCGCGCGCCCTCGGGTGGTGAAAGACCTGCAACTGCAGGTGCTACGAGTAGAAACACGCGGTGTTTCCCGACACCGACGCTTCTGCACCATCGAGCACGGCAAAGACATGTGTTCCATTGGGTCTGTTCCCGTCTTGTCACGACCCACAATCCTCTGCTCAGCAGACAGACGTCCCAGCTCAACGCTCGCCGCATGTGACGGCAGCTGCTGTGCCAACTAACAAAGTAAAAACAATATGACTTTTTTGCACTAAATAGAAGCGAATGTTTAAGACCAAATGTACCTTAGTTTACCTGTAAGTGGTTGTACTCGACCCCCCCCCCTGTCCTCCGGTCCCCTTATCTCCCAGATAAAGAATCAGGACATCCAGTGCTTTCTTGTTTTGTCTACAGCAGAGGCTTCTGGGTAAATATTTAGCGTCTCACCTAAACAGCGACGCGCCTCCTGCATGCAGGTTTGCAAAAAGTTTAGCTTCTCCCAGTTCTCCTGGGATTTGACCCCCCCACACACACACACACACACTTATTGTAGGGCTGTCTGAGCGTGGACCCCGAATGCATTCCTGAACCCCACAGGCGTGATCTCCCCCCCCGCCCCCCCCCCCGTCCCTCCTCACTGCATCCAGGTATTCAGCCGGGGCGAGCCCCCCGCCGCTCCCCCGCCGCTCCCCCTCTCTAATTTCTCGTTGCCCTCGGCTACGAAGCGCCGTGCCAAGCGGTGATGTATGTAGCGCTGCAAATGGGATGGAAGCGGGGCAGGTTTGGACCTGTGTCGGGCCGTGCCGCGCCGAGTTAGGCCGGGGAGGGTTGTCGCGTCTCCCAGAGGGAGGAATTCAACCCCCCCCCCCCTATCCTCCCCCCTCTGCTGACTAGAGCCACAATAGATCCGCGATGTCTGCACGCATGCCTTCGATAGGAGCAGCCTGCACCAGTCGGGTGATTATTTAGAGCGAATATGAGCTTCCAGTCACGCCGATGATCAATGAACACAGTTTAATCCACTAAGAACAGATTCAACCACTGGTGTGGACGTCGTCTGAATGGAACCATGTCCGGTGGCTCAAGATGCTTAAGTGCGTCCCCCTGCAGGTATCTCTCGGGGGGGGGAGACCCCATGAAGAGGCAAGAGGGGGGAGAAAATTGTGCTCAGAAGAAAGAGAATTCCCAGGAATATCAAGGGAATTCCTGGAACAGCGCTGTGGCACGACAGCGTGTGTGTGTGTGGGGGGGGGGGGAGAGTCGGGGGTCTTCTGAAGGGCCTTTTAGTCAAAACACACATGGTCGGACTTTTATTTTGTTCTTCGGTCAAAGTGAAAAAGTCCAGCGGCGATGAAAAGGGATGAACACACACATTCTACACAGGCGGTAGAACACACACACACACACACACACACACACACGCACACACACAGGTGCTGAGCCACGAAAGACGCCGGGTGAGAACCGCGTGTGAGACCATGTGGGAGTTAAAGCGGGTTAAACGATGGAAACACACACTGTGCCTCTGCAGCTGTGTGTACCGTTAATGAAAGTGTTTGTGTATCTACACTCTGTGTGTGTGTGTGTGTGTGTGTGTGTGTGTGTGTAGCTGTCTAATCATCAGTCTTTGATGAGCGGGGGAATTCCAGTCTCGCCAGTCTAATCCTCGGGTACATGCCTTCCGCTCCCCCCCCCCGCGCCTCCTCACCTAGCATCACTTTGCACACACCTGTATCCCCCACATGTCGCATGCTGTTATCCAGCAGCGGGAGAAGAACCTTCATATTTAAATAAGGCCTCATCTTCAACCTAGGACGGTGCGCATGGAGCCTCCGCCCGTCACCGCTTCACCTGTTTGCCGCCCACCTGCGCTCAGGCCGCGGGGCTGGCGTCAACGGGGGGGGGGAGGAGGAGGAAAGCGGGACGGCGGTGAGGAGAGCGTGCCGGGGAAACGATGGAGAGAGCTGAAAGAAAGACGGAGGCCGAGAGAGTGGAGCACATATCTGCAGCTCACTGACCTCTCTTAAGTGGATTACATGCCCCGTCAGTGCCCGGGGGGGTAAATGAGAGGGTGGAGAGGGGCAACAGCAGGCAGCGGCTTTTAGCTCCCTATTTAAGCACATTTATCGGTTCATCTCAGAAGTATTCAGATCCTTTACTAATGTACACGCGCTGATATCAGAGTCGCTGCAGCATCCGAGCACAGTGGTTAATTTAGTGGTTAAGTTAATTCATCCAAAACAAACCAGTGGTGTAAAGTGCTCAGAGACCAGAACAATGTATCAAAATGATTAAGACTTGTTACATTATAACGTGCAGCGACATCACGGAGGAGCTCACATGTCGACTCAACGAGGAGATTATTCATAGTATTCTTCAAGTAAGCCAGCAGTGACTTTTAGAATAGTATGCATGAAAAACATTGAATGTGCAGGAAATATTTCATGTGCTTTCTGCAGTTTGTTGACACATTTTTAATGGTGTGATTTGCTCTTTGCGTATTTATTGTTGGGCACCAACAGGCTGAAAGGAGCATTTATGAGTTTATGGGCAGAAAGTTAAAGATGATAAATGTGTGTGTGTGTGTGTGTGTGTCCATAGTAAGAATGTTTTAAATGCGCATTAAAGCAAGCAAGCCATGTCATGCTTTTCTGGATTAAACACATGTCCGCAGGGTTGAGATGGCAATGAAAGCGAGAGAGGGAGAGGGCGAGGAGGGCGAGCTGCAGGGCCGGGCGTGGGAGAGCAGACTGCATTGAGCTGTAGCAGACCAGACACTAATCTGGAGATTCAGGGCTTGTAAAAACACCTACACACACGCAACCACACACACAGACGCACACACTTGGCCCGATACCCATGTGCAAATGTACTCGTGCGTGCACCTCTCTGCCCTCCAGTCCAGACAACACCAGTTAGCACTCCCGTGTTTTCCGCGTGAGACATCGGGCCGATTTTTAAACTCCGGTGAGGTAACTGCTGTTTCCGGGAGCCAGGATGTTGTCACAAAACAAACGGCGTCCCTCCGGTGATCTCACTGTGGGAGTCGCTGAGCTGAGACGGCGGCTATGAGCCTGCGATGTCACGGGGGTTCAGCGCGACCCCATCGGGTCACGCGGCGTGTGGGCGGCAGGTTCTGCGCCGCTGCATTCCGGGTGCGTTTTGGGCTTTCGGGGCTGTAGTTGGTTTCTCACAGTCCTCACTACCCGAACACCGCGGCGGCGCCCTCGCGTGGCTCCACGGTGAACTGCAGCCATGAGCCTCCCCCGTCCCGCTGGAACGTCCCAGAGGGGTCGGCTCCGACCATTAAAGCAGAAGCGCCGCGAAAGCCTTTAACGCAAACAACAGAAAGAATGCCGACTTGACTGACGCGTCCCGTCCTTCTCACCGCTGCCTGGCATGCGTGCAATCGATGCCCGTCCGGCCAATCCGCCCGTGTCAAACACGCATGTGGGAAAAGTTCATCAGCGGCCTAACGAGCACACTGGAGCATTCCTTTGGGGAGATAAACGTGTTTTATTTTGCGATGATCGGTATTTGTTTGAGGTCAGCGCGGCGCTCCGATCCGCGATGACCTTGCGCATCAGCGTTAAACAAAAAGAAATGTGCTACTTCTCTGTGGGAACACTGGAGTATGCAGGAGAACGCGCTCACTGGTGGAAAATACCCAGTTTCACTTTTAGATGTGCAGAATATTGTATTACAGTAGATAAAAAGATATGTTTAAGGTTTTTTGTATATTGTATTGACAGTGTTTCTGACCACAATAATTGTTTTATCATGAAAATGAGAGTACAAGTGGATTAAAGTTGACTTTTGTCCTTTAACAGGCTTGCCACGGCTGCGTGGGATCCACATGTGACTGCAGCGGAGTGAAAGGAACCAAGGTCGGCAAAAAGACGCCCGGTATCAAAGCATTCTTTACCCTTTGGTCCTTCAGAAGATGTTTGTTAACGGTGCCGGCGTCTCTGTCCCGCAGGGCGAGCGGGGTTTCCCGGGTCTCACCGGACAGCCCGGAGTCCCGGGGTTCCCCGGCCCCGAGGGGCCGATCGGGGGCAGAGGAGAGAAGGTGGGTTTGGCATCGATGTCGGTGAAGTCGAACAAGGATTCGAATCGGACCACGTGAGGTTGAGAAGGGAAACCACGATTTGAGGCCGGCCTAAAGGTCGACTAAGTACTGAAAAAGAGAATGAGTGAAAAAAAAAGGGAGAATCTGATGGAAGTTCTTTGGTAGAGAAAGACTTTGATATCTTCGTTGAAGATATTATTATTATCTGATCCGGTGTGTTGTCTGTTTTTCCCTCTCAGGGTAGTGATGGACTGCAAGGACCTTATGGTCCAAAGGGAATCAGAGTAAGTACATTATTATAATTATTATAATGTATCATTTTCAGGCTTCACTTTAGAGACAAAATAAAAATACTTTTTACCGTGGGCCTCATTGATCGTCATTCCTCATTCGAAGCTTAAAAAAAGGTTAAAAAGGAAGTTTATATCTCAGTTAAGTTGTTTTTTTTCCCAATGAGGTATAATAAGCTCTTCTGACCAGCAGATGTGCACATTTCACCTCATTAACAATCACTGAGGTCGTGAGGAAGCTACAAGCCGACGTGTCTTCTGCTGCTTTTATATTTTTAACATAATTTCTCTTAACAGGGACCGTCTGGATTGCCGGGATTTCCAGGAACACCAGGACTTCCGGTAAGTTTTCCCAAATCTTCTAAAACCCGGAGGTGGAACTACGATACTACGAGGTAGGTATTGTAAATATATATAGTGTAATTACAACAACTTGTATGAAACCTCAAACTATAATATGAGAGACAAAGCTTAACGTTAACTTACAGCTTTGTTCCAGGCTAAACATTAAACGTTGTTGTTTGCGTGTCCACCACCGTATTCATTTTATTGTTCACACAAAAACATAGTAAATATGGAAAATTTGGAATTAAATGAAAAACCCCACTTTACTACCGGGCTTGGTCTTCTTTATTTTAATAATTTACCCAGGGTTAGTTTAACGACAGCTCAGTTAGCGTTAGCTGGAGAATATATTATGCTAACGTTAATTGTTACCCACTAATGCTATTCACAAAGAAATGCTAAATAATCAATAGCACACACTTAATCACACGACAACACAGGAGCTGTGGAGCTCCTCAGTCCTGCTCCAACTTCTCCGCGCACAACCAGTCTGCTGAGCCTCCCTTTCCCAGTACTCCCAGTCCACAAAGTCCTCACCGATGGTAAAAGTTAGCATGTTAGCTTTAGCATGCACCTGTCGGGTGTATTTGATTTGGGTCACTCGGATGTACGCATGGACCCATAAACTAGTAATTAATTCTGGTATTATTCAATCTTTTTTCAGTCTATTTAATCAATAATCTGAATCTAATGACATATTTATTTGTTGTGTCTGTTTTATATGTTAATTTGTTCAACCTTTCGGTTTACTTCCTGTTTCTTCAGGGTCTGCCGGGGCAGGACGGACCTCCGGGCCCGAGAGGTGTTGCAGGCTGCAACGGGACGAAGGTATCTGATGGAAAGTCTTTCAGAAATAAGATAACGAAGGCATTCTGATCAATTGACGGTTAATTCAATGAATGCTAAAAACAAAAGCAGCACTGCCAGAATGAATATAAAATATTTCTCTGATTTATTTTCATTATGAGAAGGCCTCTGTAATAACATAAACGCACCCCTTTATGGGCTACGTCCAAATATTGATATTACACATTTCAAATGATCGACGTGTTGTGAGTTAATCGTGTTTCTACTCTCTCAAGGGGGAAATTGGTTACCCGGGAAATTCAGGAATTCCTGGCCAGCCGGGCCGATCTGTGAGTTCAAGTTAAAGCGTTGAAGAAAAAGGTTGTTATCTGTTAAACAACACATCTCCTTTTAACATGTCCCACTTTCTCTCCTGCCTAGGGCCCCCCTGGTGTGCCAGGAGAAAAGGTAATCATTTTCATTGACACACATCAAGGTCTAATCAGCCGAGGTTAAAAGCACCTGTGTGGGTGTTGATCAGGTGATAGAATCCGGTGCAAGGCACTAAAACTAAACCAAAGCAAACGGCGCGATAGCTAGAGGGGAATACACGGCTCACATGGGCATAAAATATATATATATATATAATTATTTTTTCAATAAAATAGATTTGTTTAAATGTTTGTGACTTAAGGTCTAGCTGCCTTTTGTGTTTTGGCCACAAGGTGGTGCTGTTTATTTTGGAATTCCACAAGACAGGAAAATTAAAGGAAAAACCAACTCTCAGAACTAGAAGATGTTTCTTAACTTTGATAAAAACCCTCCGACGTTTCGTGTCTCGTGTTTTTCTCCCCGACAGGGCGACCCAGGTGACGTGATCTCCGCCAATCGCTTTGGACAGCAGGGAGCGGTGGGATTGCCCGGATTGCCCGGCATTCCTGTGAGTTTTTTTCGGTATATTCTTACCTCCTCAAAACGCAATGTGCGTTATGCGGCGTTAAACTTTGTTCAAAGTGGATATAAAAAAGTTTTCAAAGATAACGGACATACAAAACCTCATATAGCTTCAACAAAGAGCTGAAACATGGTTCACTTTTTAAGATTTTAAACCAAATAAGAGGGACCTCCTAAGGAGTTATTTATGTGGATATACACTTATTATTCATATGCTGAAATATTACAAATGTATCATGTATTTAAGTAACATGATTCTGCAAATAAATAATTTTGCAATATATGATCAGATATTGAAAAAGCCCAATGTCTGTTAAACAAACTGTGTAAAAACCTGTGATAATATATGAATATTCAATATAATAACACCTGTGATGTGTTTGTGTCACAGGGAGCTCCTGGACCCGCCGGTCTGCAAGGTCCCCTCGGTCCTCCAGGACCCAGAGGCTACGAGGTAACGCCGCCACCAGCGGCAACAACCTCTGGTTTTTGGTATTTTACATGTATTTTCTTTTTAACGGTAGTCCCAACAACATTGTTTCCTTGTGTTGTTTTCAAGGGTTCTCCAGGTCCTCCAGGTCTCCCCGGACCAAAAGTGAGTTCAAACATTGACAAAATAACTTTACAACAGGGATTTTTGATCAGGAGAGACATTTTGTTATTGTGTTATTGTTGTTTATCGTGTTAATCAATGTGTCAAATCAACATTGAGCTTTTCCTGCTTGCTCCATCAGGGAAACATGGGATTGAACTTCCAAGGGCCCAAAGGAATGAAGGTATTTACCGCATTACCAGAGTCAACGTTAGTAGAAATGCTTCAAATGTGACCGTTAATCTCATCTGGTGTGTGTGCGTGTGTGTGACCACAGGGTGAACGGGGCACGACAGGACCTCCTGGTCCTCCGGGGCAAGTTGGGGAGCAAAAGGAGGCAAAAGAGACCGTGATTCAGAGAGGAGACAAGGTAACATCAGCATTTAGAGATCGGGAAATACACAAAGCACGTGGAGCTTTGGTTCACTTGTGAAGCTGAGCCCAAATAGGCCGACTTAAATCATTTCATTTGGCATAAGTAAAACAATATAACATTTTAGTGTTTGTTTTGGCCAAAAAACAATAAATAAATCAATGTTTATTTAGCTTTTGTTAGTTCCCTACAAACAGGTGGATGCTGCATATTTCACTTCGGCCACTAGATGGCGACAGATAATTCCAGCAACCAACCCTCTTTTTTTTGCTGTTGGGGGTCTTGGATGATGCATGAAATCAAACAGTGTTGAGGAAACTCTGAATTCTTTCTCTGCAGGGTGATCCAGGTTTCCCCGGTCCCCCAGGTGACCCAGGCTACCCAGGAAACCCTGTAAGCATTATTTAAGTCTACAAGCATCGGGATGTTATTGATCCCTTGAGGCAATAAGCGCTCCACATTATGCAAATGTAGAAAGAGAAGAAACACTTGTTGCTGTTATTTGTAGGGTCCCTCGGGTGGGCCGAAAGGAAGCAAGGGAGAACCAGGTGAAGCAGGAAAACGAGTAAGTACAGATCACACATGAACAGAAACACAAATGTACTTCTGGTATTTCCCTCTGACTACACCTACACTTAAAGCTGGAGGCCTCTGTGTGCTTCAAAGTACTTATTGGATCATCCAAGACTAAATTGTCCTAACTTAGAAATAACAAGAAATATTGTAAGGTACAAACCTTAATGATGGAGGCACAAGACCTCACACACATTTGGTTACATTTACAGAACTGTTTTTTCTTCTAACTGCAGGGCAAATCAGGCAAAGATGGCGACCCCGGCCCTCCAGGCTTCCCCGTGAGCCCTGCCCCCAAAGCCATACAATCCAATGAGATTATTTTTTTATTTCTTATTGGGATGTAAAACTTTCTGTTTTCCTTTTTTCACCATCAGGGAGGTAAAGGAGACCCAGGCCTGCCAGGCCCTGCCGGCAGAGATGGAGAGAGAGTGAGTTTTCTACCACTTCTCACACTACTTTCATCAAGTGATGTCATGGGTTGTTTTGACAACTTCCCCGTGTCCGGCCCTCTTTTTTCTTTTTTTTTAGGGGCTGAAAGGTGATCGTGGGTACCCAGGCCCGCCAGGAGTGGTGTGTATTCTACTTTCCTCTCATTTAACAAGACAATCTGAACTAAAAATCTACTCCTAGCTGTTACTCTGTCGCTATCAGCAGGGTTTGTAAAGTTGACTGAAAGGTGTGTAACGTGACCAATGAAGAACCAAACTTGTTCCTTCCAAATAAATGAATACTTTTAATATTTTTTATTCCATTTAGATTTTTTGAATGTTTTTCTCGATAAAATAAATACACGCTATCTTGGTTAAAAGAATCAAATTCCTGAGACGTGTGGCATTTCTGATTATGTCTCATTTGGAACCCGCTAGATAATCGGTGGGACACCAGGAGGTCTGATTGGCCCGAAAGGAGAGCCCGGCTACCCCGGCTCAGCCGGAATCAAAGGAGACCGCGGCCAACCAGGTAGACACACTCACACAGAACATGTGGCGTGAAGGCTGAATCCCCATCGCTCAGAATGCCGGCTCAAGTACAAGACAGTGACGCAGCGCGGTTGCTAAGCGACTCGCTCCAAATAGGGAGTCGAAAGAGAAACGGTCGTCCAATCATATTAAATGAAATGTAGGAATGAAACGCCTCTTTAGTTGGTGACCAGGTTTGTTTCTTGGAAGCATCCGGTTGCGCTTATGTTTACTTGAGTCCATTGAGATTTTGGAGATTTGGAACTAACACGCTTCCGTTGGACCTTGCCAGGCCTATCGGGACCTCCGGGGGAACCGGGTCGCCCGGGTACTGGAGGTGGAGGTCAGCCTGGACCTCCCGGCTACCCAGGAGAGAGAGGGCAGAAGGGAGACCAGGGCACCGTAGGGATTTCTCTGCCAGGTCCGCCAGGACGTCCGGGGTCTTCTGGGCCCCCGGGCCCGCAGGGGCCCCCCGGACCTCCGGGCTCTTCTTCCGGAGGAACAGACTGCTCCACTGGAGTGCCCGGGATTCCCGGCGTGCAGGGAGAGAGAGGCTACCCAGGAGACCCCGGCTTTAAAGGTCAGCACTAAAAATCACCAGATAAAGAAGTGGAGCCGGTCCGGAAACTGCAGAACACCGACCTCAGCGAGCTCTTGTTCTTTCAGGCGAAAAGGGCGACACCTGCGTGAACTGCTTCAGAGACACCTCCGGCATCCCCGGACCACCGGGACTCGCGGGACAACCCGGATTCCCTGGTAACGCCCCCGCAACACACTCTCGTCAGCCAGAGCTTTGTGATGAAGCCTCTGGAAGTTGGTACAAAGTTTCTTCTTCCCTCTCGGCCTTCAGGATCTCCCGGCTCCCCAGGGATCAAAGGAGACCGAGGATTTTCAGGAACGCCTGGGGCCGTCGGACCCCCTGTTAGTACTTTTTACTTTTCCTACAGAGGCAAATGTCTTCTTTCAAGTTGTCAACTGGGGAAGGAGTATTCGGTGTAATCTTCTTGGTTCTCTTTCTTTTACTCTGCAGGGTAACCCCGGCCCTCTAGGTTCCCCGGGATTCCCCGGAGAGAAGGGAGACCCAGGCGAGGTCATCGCAGTTGACGGTGGCAGGGGAGAGAAGGGTGACACCGGTTTCCCCGGATCGCCCGGCCTTCCCGGTCTGGACGGTCGACCCGGTCGCGACGGCCAGCCGGGCTCTCCCGGCGCCAAAGGAGCACCCGTAAGCCAGCTTTCGCCAAGTGATTTCGATCCGATGGATCCGTCCTCCGTCCGTCTCGCAATGAACATGTGTTCCACAGGGCTCTCTGCTGGTGAAAGGAGAACGAGGGCCCCCCGGTGAGCCCGGCTCCTTGGGTATCCCGGGAGACAGGGGTCCTCCGGGAGGCCCTGGTTATGGACCTCCGGGATCATCAGGAGAGAAAGGAGTCCAGGGCGTCTCAGGAAGACCTGGAGGTCCCGGTTCGCCCGGTAAGAAGGAAACCTCACATTATATGTAGTGACGAATACGACTGAATCGATATTAAAGTGTTAATGTGACTAATGTTCTAATTTGTCTTTAGGTTGGCTCTAAACAACACATCTTTGTTTAAGTAGAGAGAAGAGCTATCAACACTGGACACATTTACATTACGATGCGTTCAGGCTCTGCTCAGTAAAAAATTATTATCGCAACGATATCCTGCAGTTTTCAAATTTAATCTGTAATATTTGTTTCTGAATCCGGCTGCTCTGAAGGTGAAATTTTCTCAATGAGATTCTCTCTGTTTCTCTCTGCCCATGCAGGTAGCAAAGGGGAACCGGGCGTGGCGGTGTCTGAGAAGGGCAATCCGGGAGATAGGGGACCTCCAGGCACGCCTGGACAGCCCGGCTTACGAGGTACGCGTTTGTCTTTTTTATTTTTGATGCGTTGTTTCCGAGCATTGCTCGTTCAGAGTAACCAAGGTGACGCATGTTTCTGTCTTCGTCCGGGCGGCAGGTAACCCGGGTCAACCCGGACAGGACGGTTTCCCCGGTTCACCGGGAACTAAGGGGGAGCCTGGACTCCCCGGCATCGGACTCCCGGGACCCCCTGGAGTCAAAGGTAAAGACGCTAATGAAACACTTACTTCTTCCTCTTCTCTCCACCTCTCCTTGACCTTCATCTCCTCCCCTAATGCATCTAATGCCTCCTCCTCAGCCGTTTTTGTCCTCATAACCTTTCCTCCCCTTCCCCCTCACAGGGTTCCCAGGTGTCGCAGGCCAGCCAGGATCTCCTGCCGCACCAGGCAGACCAGGAGTAGATGGACTTCCTGGCCAGCCTGGATTTCCTGGAGCAAAGGTATGTAGATAAATGGACGGATAAAATACCTTGGGATATTCAAATCAAAAAGGGAAATACCAAAAAGAAGGGAAAGTGAAATCCTAAACACAAATACCTTTTTAAGCAGATGGGTGAGAACAGTCTGCTAGTGAGGCATTCACAACTCCTCCTCAAACACGCTGTGCTTTGTGTGTGACAGGGGGAGCCTGGCTTTGGCCTTCCTGGCCCCCCGGGTGTACCAGGAGCACCTGGAGCGAAGGGCTTCTACGGACCGAAAGGAGACCCCGGCTTCCCCGGAGGCCCCGGCTCACCCGGGCGCTCTGGATTTGATGGCTCTCCGGGATCGAAAGGTATTCTGCGGTTCCGCTACTCGCATCCGTCCGCCTAAACCTCGTTAGAGCCGAGGTTGACTTTCTCATCCGTCTCCGACTAGGTGAGCCCGGACCATCGGGCCCACCTGGAGCTCGTGGCCCACCTGGAATCCCCGACGCCGGTGCAGTGGGGCCGCCAGGACCACCTGGCCTCCCTGGCCAAATGGGACCTCCAGGTCAGACACATAGGGCATACATTTTTATCAACGATAAAGATTATTTGTCGCAATAGATTCTCGTTGATACATTTATTGTTTATTTGGTTGGACAGTCACCCTGGGCCGTGCATGACCACGCAACTGGTTGATTTCGCGCCTTGAAATCTCTGTGTCATCATTACAGGATATCCCGGATCAAACGGAGGGAAGGGAGACCCGGGCCCTCCAGGTCTAGACATCCCAGGTCTGCCAGGAGACAGAGGAAGTCCCGGCTTCCCAGGTTCCCCCGGAGCGGTCGGAGCGCCGGGACCTCTCGGAGGACCTGGACGGGACGGCTCGCCTGGTCAACCGGGTAAGAGCTAATGCTGAAACCAATAATGGTTAGCCAGTTGGATGACTAATGATGTGAGTGCTTCGTGTACACCTCGGGAATATATGAGGGAGTGAGTTATTGACTATTTTCATTTCCTGCTTTGACGTGTGGCTGCAGGTCAGAAGGGAGACATGGGTCTAATGGGATCCCCAGGACCCTCTGGAGGACCAGGAATCCCAGGAGGGCCCGGCGCCCCCGGACCCAAAGGTGTTCACGTGTAACAATAAAGAGCCTTAAAAGGCATTAATCACACAGCAGTTACCACTTTGTATTATTTTGATTTTTTTAATGTGAAAGGAATAAAGTATTAAACTATTGCTATTTCTCTTTATTAAATGTAATTTTGGATCTTTCAAATTTTTTTATACTCAATTCTCGATATGACAAAACTTTTACTTGAGAGTCTTTAAGATCTCGACGGCCATCACCTAACGTCTCTGATGGTCACGTTCTCCTCTGCAGGCGACTCTGGGTTCCCCGGCAGAGACGGGAACCCTGGCGGTACCGGTTTTAAAGGTGACAGAGGTGAACCTGGCCTCCAGGGACCCCCAGGAAGCAGCCAGGGACCGGAGAATTTAAAAGGATCCAAAGGAGAACCTGGACAACCCGGTACGGCTTAAAAGACCTTTGCTGAAGACTAAATGTAACACACATACAAGTAGACAACATATCTTTAATTACTACTCATAATTAGGGATGAGTATGGTTTGGGTTTTTTCCGATACCGGTGCTAAAACGCTACCAGTGCCTAAACGGTGCCTGAACCAACTTATTTAAAAAAAGGACATAACAATGATTGATGAAATTACAGAAGGCAAGTTATTTTCTTCGAATTGAACAATATATTAACCATTTAAAAATACTGTAAATATAAATAAATAAAAAACACCTTCCAAAGAACAATATATTAAAAGTTAGAAGTCAGATATGTAACATATATTGAAAATCATTCATGTTGGATTGACGCTCCTTGTTTGTCTCGATGTATTGTTGTCATGGTTGGCGTGCTCACCTGTGTGCACGCACGTGTCTGCCTGTGTCCATCGGGACGGGCGCAGCAAAAAACGTATTACTACTATTACTAATTACGGAGGGGGGACACTAATTGAAATAAATAGACGGTAGATGGTCGCTAGCTACTGTAGCTACACTAGCAGTAAGCTATCGGTAGCTGCTGTGTTTTTCAGTTTTCAGTTTTTCAATCGGCTCAGGCACCGAAACGCACGTTGTGTTTCGGTACGGTAGATACCAGTCGTATAGGAACCGGTACCAATATGGCACCGGTTTTTGTACCCAATCCTACTCATAATATTAAATGCGCTTTGTATTTCTGCTGGGTTTTTTCTACAGGTTCACCAGGTTTTTCAGGTGAGAAAGGCATCGCTGGTCTCCCCGGTGACCCCGGGCCGGGGGGATTGGATGGACGTCCTGGGAGTCCCGGACCACCAGGTGTGTGTTTTATCTCCCAACGCATACACACACACCAGTGACATGCATACATCTATGAACTTGTGCAAATGGATTCCTAATGGGCCGTTTCCTCTGTGCTCCAGGTCCCAAGGGAGATCCTGGTCTCTCAGGTGGGCCAGGTGGTCCTGGAGCTCCAGGACTAAAAGGCAGCATGGGAGAGATGGGTTTCCCAGGTGGGTTAAAGCTCGTACTCGGTTCCTGGCGACCTACTGAAACACGTGATTTCTCTGCCATAAGTGCTGATGTCCAACTCTTATGATGCCACAGGACCATCTGGACAGAAGGGTCTATCAGGTCAGCCGGGTAGGTCTGGATCCCCGGGACAGCCGGGAGGACCTGGTTTCCCTGGAGCTAAAGGTGAACCAGGCTCTGCTGGAGTTGGACCCCCGGGACTATCAGGACAGAAGGTACTCGACTCAACCACCTAACATATCCTAAAACTGCTGATCCTATACTCGCACCTAAAGGATTGTTTTATTTCTCTTGTAGGGGGAACCAGGTCAGTCAGGGTTCCCAGGAGGTTCAGGACTTAAAGGAACACCAGGATCACCCGGTCTCCCAGGTGTTCCAGGAGGGCCAGGGCCCAAAGGTGACCCCGGGCTCCCAGGATTCCAAGGTAAGTGTTCCACTTCGGCAGTCCATAACATTTAATCAATCGGCTAGTTATAACAAAGTCCATCTGCCCTGCTGTCAGGTTCACCCGGTAGCCCCGGTCCTAAGGGTCTTGACGGTGGGTTCGGTAGCCCAGGTCTCCCCGGAGCTCCCGGTAGACCGGGAGAATCCGGTCGACCAGGAGGACCAGGGTTCCCAGGAGACAAGGGCCAGGCAGGTCGGGACGGCATCCCGGGACCGGCCGGAATCAAAGGAGACCCAGGTGAGTCCCCGGTCTGTGACTTAAACTGTTGACTCCAGTGTGTCATTGAGGCTAGTTTCGATAAGACTCCCTTCTGATCTACTCCAGGGCTTCCTGGTTATGGTGGACCCGGCTCTCCTGGGCTTCCCGGGCTGCCAGGTGAGCAACCGTCCTCTTTGTGTAACAGTTTGCTTGCTGCGAGTATCGTTTCCGCACTGATTTTTAACAGTCCACTTTATCTCTCATTAAGGTTCGAAGGGAGACCCGGGTCTTCCCGGCCCACCTGGGGTCAACGGATTCCCAGGATCCAAAGGAGACCCCGGTTTCCCCGGATCTCCTGGCCCTTCAGGCAACCCCGGTCCAGCCGGGCCTCCAGGACAGGCTCTGCAGGGCCCCAAAGGACTCCAAGGATCCCCTGGGCCACCAGGGAGAGGAGGTAAAGCCTTTGGATATAGTATCTGTCCCCACATGTTCTGCCATTAGTTGCTGCCTGGTTTTCTGATCAATTCTGTGGGACCTAGAACCAAGTGGCGGTTTGTTTTACTCACCTACGGTGACAGACGGGTGGGGTTTATTGCTTTGGACAATCAAATTGCAGTTTGCGTCCAAATGGTCTTTGGATAACTGGTATATTGTACGTTTAAATCATTCAGCCTTCAGAGTATTCAGTCTTCTTCAATCTTACATCTGAGCTGTAGGAGTTTTTCATGGGTTTACGTTACACATTTCGCTCTTAAAGATGCGTCCCAAACCACACAGCAATCCGAAACCCTCTCTATGTAAAAACTAAAGGGAAGGCGTCACTGAGGAATGACGGATGTTGTGAGTTCATTCACTTCTCCTAATGGCCGAAAACCAGGCAGCAAACGGCAGAAACCGCACTTTTCACCACGTGAATGCCTCCATCTCTGTGTAAGTTGATTTGCATGGGACGTCGCACCAATCGACCACCATCACACCGCCGTGTTTGAGTCACTGAGCACGGATGATTAAAGGAAGGGTCGCGATTGTTCACCGGGGTTCGCCCCCGAAGCGAGCATGTGTTTGTGGCACTTTGTTGTCTCAACATCATCATTGTTTTTTTGTTGGGTTCTTTTTTGTTGTTGTCTTTTTTGTTTTACACCAATCCATCCGTCCTCATGTCTTCCTCACCCCCCTCGCCCACTTCTCCTGATCCCACATTCATGGGGGAAGCTGATTCATTCATTCATCTCTCCACAGCCCTGAAGCACTGTACTTGTGTGTGTGTTCATCGTTTAGTGTTTGTGTTAAATCATGTTGAAGAAATGAGACCCAAACCCAACTGAGAGTTGGTTGGCTTTGGGTCAGGCCTTGTCTTGTGTTTTGTCCCACCAATCGGTCCTCTGCATGGACACCGTTTGTCCCGACACCCCTGGACACGCTGAGAACAAGCCTAACACAATGCTGGGAAGAGTGGGCAGTCACGACGCACACCCTGCACACATGGTAACACAAAACAACCCCGATTAGACCAAATCTAGTGGGTTTTTAAGTAGTTTAGGTTCAGTAGGAATGAATAAAGACATCAACACACGTAGGACCCATAAGCCTTTATGGAGGGTCTTAGTTCTATTATGACGTAGATTGTGTACTTTCTAAAAGCATCTGTCAGCACTGACCACACACCAGCACTGCGTTGGGTTAGTAAATGAAAATGTTTCTTCCCCGGTGTTCCCGTGACAAAATGATGTCATGACCTTGTACCCTCCTCCCCCTGTATCTCTGTGGCCCCACCCACTGTGGTGTGGCCCCGCCTCCTGGTGTGATGACTCGTGCGTCGGGCTGCCGCAGGTCCCTCAGGTCAGATCAACGACGTCCGCTGCACGTCAGATCGGTTCCTCCTTCCTTTCATTTCTCCTTCTAACGACTTCTTTCACTTTCCACGCACACCGATGGTAGTGTAACGCACAACAAGTAAGCACTCTTAAAATGAGCAAAAGGAGGCGATCGTTGTGTCACATTCAGCACGTTGGGCACAGTAAGCATGTCATCTGGATCACAAATACAGATCTAACCTGCAGAATGCCGTGATTATCGCATCTGACGCAATAGAACTAACTCACTGGAACCGTTAGATCACGTCGGTAGTGTCACACACTGGGGTTCTGTTTGTGTTGCATTGTTACTGAAATGCTGTTCCGTACGTTAGCGCGGACGTCATTTAAACGCCCTGCAGCGTCGAGACCACGGTTTGGTTCGTCGAAACGGGATTATTAAAACTATTTCTTGTCGAGGACGTATTTAAGACAAGGAAGGGAAACTGCACTTACTGAGTGATCGCAGCTGCTCGGTGAAGACTTCGTCATTGGACGAATATAAGTCTTTAGTTAAAGCCTCCTCTCTACTCAGAGATAGAACGCTGTGTTGAGTGTGACTGTTCCCATAACAACTGCTTCTGTCTAAACCTCTTTCTCTTTTTTTGCCCTCTGCCGACATCCGACTCGGCTTTCCCTCGGAATTCTGGGAACCGTAGGTCCTCCAGGTTAGACTCCAGTGGTGTGATGGATTGTGTTTGTGCTCCTTGTGGGGAAATGAAGGAAGGTGTTTTAATGTGTACTTTGGTTCAAGGCTAACATCTTTTATTCACATGACGAAGAGACAATTTGTGAGTGAGTGCTGGGCTCTGTGTGTTCTTTTTTTGTTACCCCTTCTTTACCCTACAGGACCGACTGGACCTTCTTAAAACACTCGTGCACACATTTACACCCACCTGTGGAGCATAATTGATCTTTGGTTGTCTTTCTCTGTCTCTTTTTGTTGCCTAATTATATTATTTATATTGCAAGCTTCATTCATTTAGTTTTTTAGGAAGTGAGATTATGGTTTGGTTTATCATTTTCAGTTTTAAGCAAACATTGAATTTTAATCATTTAATCAACTACTAAATGGGGACAAAATGCCTCGTTTTTGTTGTATTTCTTTTTGTTATATTGAAACTATCGAGCATATACTTGTAGGTGTATTTATATTATAATTGTGTGTCTGACCATTTACTTTTGGCGTCCCCCTCTGAAGGCTCCCCTGGCCCTCAGGGTCCCCGAGGGCCCGCAGGAAGCGGCGGCGTTAAGGGAGAGAAGGGCATTGCCGGCGCTCCTGGACAGCCCGGCTTTGCTGGACAGAAGGGAGACAGCGGCGTTCCCGGGTTCCCAGTACGAGCATTTGGATCATTTTGAACGTAAAATAAAAATGTCTTCCTAAAAGGGACTAATGTGGACTTCTTTCTGAGCAGGGCCCCCCTGGTCAGCCTGGAGGTTCAGGTCAAAAAGGAGACATCGGTCTTCCTGGCGTTCCTGGATTCCCCGGTTAGTCCTACTCTGTAACGTCATTGTAGAGCTTCCTTCCTGTTGCCCAGAAGCTTATTTTAATAGTGTGAATTCATCATAAGCTATGCCCAAATGTTTGTGCCCTTTGTCTTTCTGCCAGGACCGAAGGGCGACCTGGGAGCCCCGGGAGGAAACGGCCTTCCTGGAGACCCTGGAGGTGTCGGACTTCCTGGTGGGCGAACACAGTTAATCAGATCATCATCAAAACATCCAGAAGGATGAAATGCCTTCTGAGTGTGTTAGAAATAATCCTTTTTACCTTTTCAGGCCCTCCTGGTGAACCCGGCTTCGTTCGGGATCCCGGTCAATACAAGGGAGCCAGAGGAGCCCCCGGGGTTCAGGGCCCGCCTGGTGGTCGAGGACTTTCCGGCACCCCCGGCCGAGACGGACGTCCAGGTGGGTGATTGTGGACTCTCAGAGGCAGAAGTCGCCGTCATTGTTGCAATAAGAGATGAATAATCTCTCTGTCTGCCTGTTGTCAGGTGAGCCTGGTGAAATCGGGGCCCCGGGTCCAGAGGGTCCTCCCGGCTTCAGCGGCCCACCCGGCAGGAAGGGAGATAACGGACCAGCTGGTCAGCCCGGTGGGTGAAAAGGGAACCGGACACACACAACTCCCAACATTTTCACAGTGACTGTTTTCCAGCAGTGAGCTGAACCCGTGTGTCTGCCCCTCCCCCCCGATCTCAGGTCAGCGTGGCTTCTCTGGTCCCCCCGGTTCAGACGGCCCTCCGGGTGTCCCCGGCCCTCCGGGATCGGGTTCCGTCGCCCACGGCTTCCTGATCACGCGCCACAGCCAGGGCCAGGATGTGCCCTTCTGCCCCCAAGGGACCGGCCTCATCTACGACGGCTACTCCCTGCTGTACGTGCAGGGCAACGAGAGGGCCCACGGGCAGGACCTCGGTACGAACGCACCTCAGCACCCTACACGCGTCGCGCGCCGACTATAACACCGTCCACCGTTACTATCGCGATGCAAAACATCTGCGTCCGCGCTACAAACGCTGACCAGGCCAGTAGGTGGCAACGAAAGTGAATGTGCCCGTTCCAGAGAAGAAGGTTCTGAGCGTGCTCAATGAGCTTAATTTCTCTCTTTTTTTAATATTGACCAGTCAGCGACCTCCGGTTCTGCAGAGGGAAGTCGATGCGGAGGTGTCTTAAAACTAGCATTCTATCCACTGACCAGCAGGGGGCGAAAAGGCGCCTGCTTGTACGGAGATGAGAATCTTGACTCACCCCTTCAGTAAACAGTTCAAACACGCGTTCATATATGTATGGGTCGAGCCGCGGCATCTCATCTTGCTTACGACACCCTCACCGAACCACCTGACCCCGCCCCCCCCCCCTCTGACGCAGGCACGGCCGGCAGCTGCTTGCGCCGGTTCAGCACCATGCCCTTCATGTTCTGCAACATCAACAACGTCTGCAACTTCGCCTCCCGCAACGACTACTCCTACTGGCTGTCCACGCCTGAGCCCATGCCCTCGTCCATGGCCCCCATCACCGGAGAGCGCATCAAGCCTTTCATCAGCAGGTAGGGATGGAGGGGATGGGGGGGCACCGAGGCGAGGCGAGGGAAGGTGTCTGACCCGCCGTTGTCTGCGTCCAGGTGTGCAGTGTGTGAAGCTCCGGCCATGGTGATCGCGGTCCACAGTCAGACCATCCAGATCCCCAGCTGCCCTTCAAGTTGGGAAGCTCTGTGGATCGGATACTCCTTCATGATGGTACGCGGAGATGCGCTCTGAAACAGGGGGGGGGCCCCGAAACGCGGAACGCACCGCCCTTTAACCGCGCTCTCTCTCTCCCCCCCCCCCCTCTGTGCCTCCCCAGCACACCAGCGCGGGCGCGGAGGGCTCCGGTCAGGCCCTGGCCTCCCCCGGCTCCTGCCTGGAGGAGTTCCGCAGCGCCCCGTTCATCGAGTGCCACGGCCGAGGGACGTGCAACTACTACGGCAACTCCTACAGCTTCTGGCTGGCCACCGTGGAGCCGTCCGAGATGTTCAGGTAGGGGGGGGGGGGGTTCAGTCGGGGGGGAACAAGAGGCGCCCGATGGATGTGAACTGGACGCTACCTGGCTTAGCTTTTACATATTTATTTACACATGCTCATCCATCCCCCCCCCCTGCAGGAAGCCCCAGGCGGAGACTCTGAACACGAGTAACTTAGTGATGCGGCAATGCTACGAGCGTTTCTTCCCAAAAAGAATGTACGGCTCAACGCAGCCCTCTAGTAACCGAACACATGAGGGCAGAGAGGGAAGGTCGGGGGAGCGGATAGGCCGCGAGGTAAGAGGCGGAACTCCAATGGTGCATCGTCTTCCGGATTCGAACCATCTTACGACTTTAAACAATGGTGCTACTGTGCGACACAGCTTAAAGAAAAAAACAGAAAATTAAAAAAAAAAAAAAAAGACCCAAATAAATCTTACATTTATTCTTTGTTTGTCTTAAGAAGTACCTCAAAATGAAAACAAGAGAAATATCCACTTAAAGGTGCAATGATGGAGGTGTGACAACATTTCTTTCATTCTTTCCCTTCCTTCGCGTTTCCTTTCCTCTTTAAAAAAAAATAATCACTTTTGAAATTGTGAACCGTTTCTAGGCAGAAGATCGCTTTTCTTTTCTGGTTTTTTTTAGTTTTTTTTTTTTTTTTAGCCTTATTGATTAGGAGTGGATTACCAAATCGGCACTTTGACTTCGGAACATCCAAGATGAGAGACGCACTGACGACGAGCTTTTCCTTAGTGAGGCGGACTTTTCTTTTTTGTTGTTGTTTCTACCAGCTCTTCATTCACTCGCTCCTCCTCTCTCTTCCTCCGTCGTGTTTTCTGTGGTTCGGCGTTTGGTGGTAGTGACCGTGCTGTAGCCCCGCCTCCTCGCCACCGGCCCCAACGCCTTCTTTCTCTTTTTGTAAGTAATAAAATGTGTATATTGTGTAAAACACCTTCTCGTTCTTAGTGTAGACGGGCCTGAATCGGTACCAGCTGTATGTTATAAGACACATTTACAGGTTGTTGTTTTTTTGCTTACACACAAACAAACACTCACGCTCTCTCACACACACACACATTAACGTCAACGCTCACTGACACACATCCACTCAGATATTGTACAAAGTGAGGCTTTTATGAATGAAACAGTATTTTATATATAATAAATATATATTTGAAAAAGAGGATACAAAGGTATATGAACTTTATTCGGCTGTGGGGAGATTTGTTCGCTGTTTTTCAAACACAAAAGTCGGGCACTTCACTGAATTCTAGAGCGCAGACGGGGCCACTTTCCACTTCCCAACACAACAGTCCTGTGTTATATTAACGACGCCAACCGCCTTTTGTACTCAATTTGTAGAATGTTGAACTGAAATTAAGGGGATTTTTAGAATGTGTAATGATTGGGGGTCTTTACAGATAAGAAGAAAAAAAAAGATTTTAATTGAATCTTGGCCCCTTGATTAGAAAACCTTTTTGTTTAGTGTGTTTGTGTTTGTGGTTTTTTTTGTTTTTTACATTTCCAGGTGCTGGGCTTTGTGTGTAAAAAGAGGCCCGGAGGTGTGTTGGGCCCGTTTTTCACCTGAAAACCTTCAAATCCACTTTGGCTCGGCATTAAATCCACGATGGGTCGTGTTGTTCACGCTCGACCGCGTCGGAACGCAAGTGAAAGAATCGGTGCTTTTAAACCAGCTCCTCTGTACGCAAAGTCTAAACTGCTTTTATCAATTCTAATGACGTCAACCGGGGTGCGATTAAAAAAAAGTGTATTTGTTTTCTTTTGTTTATTTTACATGTTATGTTATCCAGAAGTTGTTATAAACTTTTAAGACTGAAATAAATGCTATGTCCAAAGTGAAGTGAAGTGTGTGATTGTCACAGAAAGGACCCATCAACACATTGAGTTTATTGATTTTTTCATCTCCGGCGTAAACATTTTGTAGAGTCAGCAGGTCGTTCAAGCTGCTGATGAAAGAAGGAAAATAGTATTAATGAGGTGTGAACTCTGCAGCAAAGAGAGTCCGATTATTAACTATTTTTAAAACGTTCAAATACGTTTATTTATCAATAACGTTGATATTTAACACATCTTATCATCGTGAGTGATTTAGTGCAGCTGGCAGTAAGTAACCAGTTTCATATCAAATGTCAGGCAGTCTGCAGATAAACGGGGACCGGGTTGTGTCCCGCATGTAATACATTTATTTTAGAAATCATCGACTGAAGCGGAGCTACCTGATATTTAATATCGATATGAATTGATCTGCGTTTAGAGATGCAGTACTTCGAATTGGCCGCTAGATGGCATCGTTTTCTAATCTAAATGGATTCCAAAGATCTCCTTTCTTTTTGTTTGGGTCCTTTCCAAGAATCTCTCTCTTTCCGTGGGAATTTACTAAGTTCATTAATTGAATTATTGTTGAATACTTTCAGAAATAATTCAATAATTCTTAATAATATTAATCAATAATAATATTAATATAATAATAACAATATTTAAATTACGTTTTCCTATTTTCTACTTTGCACTTCTAATCGCGAGGCTATTACATATAATCATCAAACTACATGCCATGTAATATGAGCGGTATGCAAATGATAATACAAATCTAAAACTATATCTCCATATGATTTAGTGCAGAACCAGCTCGCAGCGGAGGGAAAGAATAAAGATTTGCTCTGTTGAACATATAAAACATTAAATACACTCTACATATTTCTGTTTTTAAATGTACCACTGCTGTCAACCGCATTTGAATTACTGAAGGGATCCTATTAATAATTTATATATTTTTGGTAATTTTATAACTTTCATTTTCCCTTTTTTTTTTTTTTTTTACCTCTTTTTGTTACAGTTCTTGTCATTTAATTACATCGATTTAAATCGACGGGTTATTTTGTGTGGAATTATTTAAACTATCTAAAAAAAAAATAGCAGATAAATCAGTAAATAGCTACAAACCAGAAGCACATTTTAAACTGCATCAATAATGAACCATCCTGAGTACTTTAACTTCTGGTACTTTAAGCACATTGTGAATACTTCACAGCGGGAATGGGCGGAGTGAGAGCGGAGGAGGGAGGAGGGAGGAGAGGAGGGAGGAGGGAGGAGAGGAGGGAGGAGGGAAGGAATGTCCGAGCCAAAGCATTGTGGTCGGTTGTCTCACATTGAGAGAGGGGGGGAGGGAGGGAGCCCCCTGGGGAGCTGAACACTCCCCCCCCCCCCAGAAGAAGGAGGTGTGGCTGGGGCCGCGCGCGGAGGAGCGGCTCCTTTTCTCACGCGCGGACGTAAACTGCCGTTGGGTTGTTTCGCATCAGCTGATGTGAACCCTCTTAAACCGGTTCGTGAAGCGGGATCCCGCCGGGCTGGAGGACTCAGACCGATCGACCGCAGGGGAATCCCGATCGATTAATCGGAGGTGTGTCAGCTGACTGGGAGCCCGGAGGGAGGGGGATCGATCGATTGATCGATCGATCGGTCGGGATGAGCGGGCCGGGGGAGGTGGTGTGTGAAGGCTGGCTGAGGAAGTCCCCCCCGGAGAAGAAGCTGCGCCGCCATGTGAGTATTTCAACTTGTAGCGAATTAAAAGAAGATCAATCGGTGTCTTTCGGGTCGGGTCGATTCCTTCAGTTAAACGCTCTTTGTTTCGTTTCAATTGAAGCACAATCTGAATTTTGACTTAGTAGCAAAGTAGAAGTAATCAGTTACTAAATCAACTTTATCCATAAGTAGATAAACGGCATTAAAACAATGCGACGAGGTGCAGAATTAAAGGCAGATTCGTTCATTTGAGAGCTTCTCGATGCCCAAAGAATCCACCTGCCTTTCAACATAAATCCACACGACCGGATCGTTTCCAGCTGGTTGAACTGCAACAACAATCTTTCACCAAATACTGTACGATTTCAAATCCCCCAACTGACAACCTTTACTTATTCTGAGAGCGAATCACCTTCATCTGCAGAACCTTCAAGTGACACAAAGGCTTAAAAAGAGAGAGGATCTTATTTTGTGTTATATATTAAATATATATAATAAATATGGAATAAACCCAGGAACAATTTGAAGGCTGTTTGTTCAATGGCTGCAGCTTTCCAATAAAGAAGCAGCTTAAGCGCACGCACACACACACACACGCACACACACACACACACACACACACACACACACACACACACACACTGCATATCTAGCGTGCCTGGAGTTGAGCTAATCTCATCTCTCCTCCACATATTTTCCCTTAATCTTTCTTTCTTTTCTGTGTTGTTTTTCCCTCTGTGCCTCTTTTCCATTAAGTTACTGTCTTCCTGTTAGCGTGCATGTGCGTGCGTGTGCGTGTGCGTGTGTATAAAAAACGGTAGAATAAGTGATTGTTTACAGAATTGTTTACTGCTTCTAACTGCTGATCTGAAACATCAGCCTTTTATGTGGATAAAATAACAACAGATGCTGTTAAGTGTCTATAATCACGAGGACTCCACTACCCACAATCCCCGGCAGCTGACATCGGTAAAGCGTGTGAGGGGGGTCGAACATACGCAGCAGACATTTTTGGAAGAAGAAGAAAACAGGAAGGAGAAGAGAAGGAGAACCAAAGTGATCATTGTTCAGACGGAGTGCCGTATACACACACACACACACACACACACACACACACACACACACACGCACACACACGCCTGGCCAGATGTGTGTGTTTACTGTCAACACACACACAGGGAGCAGCCCATGTAGAATGCAGCAGGCCCCTAAACGTTGGGCCAGAGCTTGTGTAGTGTACCTCATTGTGTGTCTGTGTGTGTGTGTGTGTGTGTGTGTGTGTGTGTGTTACGTAATAAACTAATCGCTCTCAGCTGGCCCTGGAGGAGAGGGGGCCTCCCTGAAGAAACACACACACACACACACAAGGTGAAGCACAGTTTAGGAAAGCGTCATGTGTGAGCGGATCACGGACTGCGGGAGACTTCACAGACTGATTGACAGCCGCTAGTGACCAATTAGAGGGCGGGACCGCCCCCCCCTTGTCTTCAGGGAAGGAATGGATGAATGACAGAGGGAAGAGATGAGTGAACGAGGACGGTTGTGGATCCGGTCTGGTGTTTAATTTGGGTTTGCAGGCGGGGGGGGTTAGATCCATTGTGCCCTCTTCCTGTTCGAGCTCAGGGGTCAAAGGAGGAAGCAAACAGTCGGAGGGACATCAGAGGAAGTGTTTTTTCGGAAAACGTTTTGAAGTTACCGGCGCTGATATTTGCGCAGGCAGAGGAAACTCGTTTGTTTTTTCTTTCTGCTCCATGAACAGCTGCTGAAGCCGGCTGGTCGATGCCTGGCTCAAAGGCCCGTGGGATGAACCTCTAATGAATGCAGGCTCCGCTTCGTCGACGTGATAATTCACTGTCGTTCGCTGCTGTCCGCGGTGCTGAGCGCTGGAGGGGCGGCGGTTTGTTCACACTGACCTCTGACCCGGTTGATGTTGGGCTTCCTGCGTTAAAATGACGCGTACACTTGAGATTTCCTTTGGCAACTCGGCCTTTTAAAGGAGCGGTTTTGTCGTAATTGAGAAAGCGCTCAACAGAATTGATTTTCTGTCATTTTAAAACTTTTCGGCTACAACAATCCGATGGAGTCCTGCACCCGTAGTCCTTTCATGCTTGTCGCTGCCACCCTGCTGCTTGCTGTTTGTCCAGCGGCCTAAAATTGAGAGGAGGACAGACAGAAATATACACACACACACACACACACACACACACACACACTCACATCTACTGCCATCTCTTGCGGGCACTTCCTGTTCAGCGATTTCCTCTTCCTGTCTGTGTTTGGAGAGAAAGTAGGGAGGAACGCGCAACACATTATTTATTACACACACACACACACACACACACACACACACACACACACACACATATAGTGTATTTAGCCACATAAACAGCAGCACAACGTTTATTCCCACGTTTTAAGTCGCTCTTCCGTCTTTTTTAGATATTTTACTGACGTCTTTACACAGAAAAACACTGAGATCATCATATGTGCAGGGTGTGTGTGTGTGTGTGTGTGTGTGTGTGTGTCCAGGGTGTGTGTGTGTGTGTGGGGGGGGGGCTGCTGTAATTAAATTAAAATCCTTCTTCAGGCCTCACCCATTTGCGTAACCACAACGCTCACACAGGGAGTCGTCTCTGGAACATGAAGGGTCGTCCCGTGGGTGGCTCAGGGGAGAGGGAGACTACCCATAATGCTCGGCGCATGACGAGGTGTCAAACATTTAGCGGTGTGTGTGTGTCGTGTTTCACGTGTGGCGGAGAGACACACACCAGTTAACAGGAGAGCGAGCGAGAGGACGTGAAGCGAACGGAAACCTCGTCTGACCTTTTTCGCCAATGATCTGTGAAAAAGGCCATTTGGCGTAAATGTTCCGCCGGTTCTTCGGTTCCCGCGCTCTGCCTGTGGCGTTTGGTCTGAGCGAGGAGGTGCTCCTGTCTGCAGGCGTGGAAGCGGCGCTGGTTCGTGCTGCGCAGCGGTCGGCTGAGCGGCGAGCCGGACGTCCTGCAGTACTTCAAGAGCCAGCAGACCCGCCGGCCCATCCGGACCATCAACCTGAGCCTGTGTGAGCAGGTAGCCGCACGCCGCCGATCACCTGACCGCGTCCGAGCTTCACTGATGTTTGATGGTTCCACCTTTCATGAGCAGCTTCTGACTCACGTGACGTAAATGCACCCCCCCCCACCCCTCCCTCAGGTGGACGCCGGCTTGTCCTTCACCAAGAAGGAGCTGGAGAGCAGCTTCGTCTTTCACCTGAGGACGGAGGAGAGGACCTGGTACCTGGTGGCGGAGTCCGAGGAGGACATGAACCGCTGGGTGTCCTCCATCTCCCTGCTGTGGGGCTTCAACCCCACGGAGGATGGTGCTTCTGGCGAGGGGGGGGGGGGGGGGTCAAAGACGGGTGGGTGGTTGCGTGGGTTGATGCTGAGTCAGCGGGAAAACCAGTAGGAGGAGAGAACGGAGACAACATGAAGATGGAAAAGACGGACAGAAATGTCCCCGGCACATTTGGACTTTCTGACGTTACGCAGAGAGGACGGGATTACGTGAGACGCTTTCTCCTTTCTGCAGGCCCGGAGAGACATTCTGTCTCCGGCTCGTCAGCGACAGCGATGGCCGCGGCAACGAGGTCAGTCCCAGACCCGTATGACCTGCCGGGCGCCGGGAGCCCGACGCACGGCGGCGACGCAGAGGAAAACTACATGTGGTTATCGCACTGTCAGAGTCACATCGGGTAGACGCACACACACACACACACAGCTGAGTCTTTATAAAGATGCTACAATCACGCGTCACGTCTTAAAAGATCACAAACACAAAAGATTTTGCAACTGTTGCATTCTGGTTGGGACATAAAACCCCCCTGAAGGTAAATCATCCAGACCCAAAGTCTGAGCTGCAGGTTGAGACGCGTTCTGATAAAAAGGGATTAGAGGTCTTTGTTGAACTGGATTACGCCCGATTTCTGCATCTCCAATAAAAGCCGAATGTTCCACTGCAGCTGCTGGGATTCCTCCCGTCCAGGTGGTTGGAATTGACATTTGTCGACGTGTTGAAAGTCTTGTTCTGGTGTCTCTCGCCTGCAGGCCTCCTTTAGCTTCCACCACCTCGCAGGAAAGCGACTCCAACAGCCTCCGTCTTCCCTCCTCCTCCTCCTCGTCCTCTTCCTCCGCCCGCTCCGGGACGCCCCCCTCCGGCCAGTCCCCTGACGCCGGCGTGACCTCTGACCTCCAGAGGCCGCCCGGCCGACTTCGCTGTCACCCCTCTCCTCACCCCAGGAAGCACTCCCTGGACTTCCGCCTGCGGCCCGTGGCGATACCTCTCTCCGCCGCGGCCCCCTGCGCCCACCCGTACGCCGCCGGGGGCTACCAGGTGCCGCGCCGGGAGTCCAAAACCCAAAGCGCGCCCCCCTCTCCTCTCCCCCGGGGGTTGGTGTTTTTCTGCCGTGGGACTCCCCCGCCCAGCAGAGGCTCCAGCCCTCGGGCCCAGACGGGGCAATCGGGCCGGCCCCAACCGCGCGGCGCCGCGGCCCAGGGAGGCTCGGCGGGGGGCCAGCGGCGGGCCACGCTGCCACACTGCTTCCCAGAGCTGGAGAGGAGGGACGGATGTTTGGAGGGAGGAGGTCTGCCGAGGAGCAACACCGTCACCTCGCCGGGTGAGAAGACAGTTTGGTTTCGTCTTTTTCGGCGTCATTTTGTGTATTTTTTGGTTGTTTTCAGTCTATTTCTGAACGTTTAACGACATTTCTTGTCCGTTTTTAGTGGATTTATGTCTCTTTGACACTTTGTCCACTTACTCCTGACAAAAATATCTGGTTGTTCAGCTCACACACGAAAGCCTTTAGGAACATTGTGTAAATGTACCTTCAATAAGTACAAATAAGGTCTGTGAAAGAGTTTTGAAGCTCAGAGGAGATTAAGCAGCTTCATTGTGCAGCGCTGACGGATTATATCCTCACGGCTGTAACAGTTTGCACCAGAATAAGACGAGACCTTTGCCCCCTGAATGGAACAGAGACTCTTTGTCGTGCAGATCTCAGCTTGAAACCCGCGGCTTTAAAATGTTCCGTAATTCTCCAAAGGTTCTTTCACGGTGCGTCAGAACCCTTTAACAGTCAAACGTGTTTCTATTTGCTCCAGGTGGCGACGCCGTTTACGCCCCTCGGTCTCTGTCCCACAGAGCGAGCATGTTTGACTTCAGCGAGCGCTTCAACAGTTACTTCGTAAGTGGAATCTTTAAAATGAATAAATGTGCGTTTGAAGCCTGTGATCCTCACGTATAACTGCGAGTCTCTCTCTAGTTGAATAAAGGCCTGGTGCCTCTGGGTAGCGTTTGCTCTGAGGACGACGACGTGGACGAGAACTACGTTCCCATGAGCGCCGCCGCCACCGAGCCTCCTGTCGCCCCGAGGTCAGAGGGCGCCGACGCCGAAGCAGCTACGACACCGTTTGCCATCATCGTTGAATGACACGTCCTTTCTGCCCTAATGTCCGACTTCTTCTTCTTCTTCTCTAGTTCCAGGGTGCCTCCACCTCCTCCCTCGGACCCCTGCGTCCACCTCCGGGAGGCCAACTACGTCCCCATGACCCCCCTCGCCCCTCCCCCCCCCGCTCACCCGACCCCGGCGACGGGCGACCCGCCCTCCCTCGGGAAACGGGTGCCACCTCCTGCCCACGCGGGTTTTCGCAGCCACCCCCTGACTCCCGCCGCCCCCCTCACCCCGCCGCCGCTCCGGAGGGCCGCCGCGGAGTCTCCCGGGGGAGGGGGAGGGGAGGCGACGCCCCCCCCCATCCACCGCGACCTGAAACCGCAACGCAGAGGTGAGTTTGATGCCTCCTCGGGCCAGAGTCACATGACAGGTCACATGACGGGACCTCGCGGTGAAGTGGTTCTGCTGTCGCTCCGCCTGCAGACACAGAACCAGAGGAGGAACCAGTCTGATTTCTCTCCCAGTGCGTCTCTCTGGTTTCCCCTTCGGCCTCTTTTAGGTCTGAATTATTTACCGGTTCCCAACAGCTTGTGGAAACGCATTAAATATTAGCGATGCTTGTGAAGGTGTTTCTGCAACACAGCGGCTTCTTTTTAAAAGCTTTTTGTTCCAAACATAAAAACACTTACTAGCATTTAAAAGTAAACTAAACTTAAAAATCTAAACGTGGCCAGATTTTTGCTTTTCACATGTGTTCTTGTCCCAGATGTCAGCGTTCCAGTGTGTCGCCCTGTTGCTTTTTGCGTTTCTAAAAGTCTCTCCTCTCGTCTCCCAGGGAAACCGGCTCCTCTGGACATCAGTCCAATGCAGCAGGAGTGGCAGGAAGTCCCGCCCCCTGTCCGCTCGCCTGTCACTCGAACCTTCACGAGAGAGTAAGTGTGTGTGCGTGATGTTTTATAGTGCGTCAACATAAAAAAACACCCATGTTTAACGTCCAGAAGCAGCAGGAAGTAGACGTGATGTATATATACTATATATACTATACTATATATATGATATATGATACTATTGTATTTATTTAATCTCATCCATTAATTAAATGTTTAACACTTTGAAACAAATATCTGTTAAAATGTCCTATTGTTTGGTTTGATGTCTTTAAATGACAAATAACAAACTCAACCACTCACTCAGATGGATTTTTTTTCAGGAAATAAAATATTTCATCATAATGATAAATCAATAGATCGTAGCGGCTCTAAACTTCTTATTTTTCATTGTGCGTCAGCCCGTCCAGCTGCCGGCCCGTCAGGCCGACCTCCGCTCACAGCTCGTCCCCGTCCTCCGACTCCGAAGACGGCGACGACAGCTGCGTCGCCATGACGACGACGACGACGACCTCCACCCTCAGCTTCAGCCGCCGGCGAGTTGGTAAAACGCTCGCTTCCCGTCCTCCTCAACTCTTTCTTCTTCTCCATCCCTGCTGCTCCGCATCCTTCTCCCTGTGCACCGTCTCTCCCTCCACCCGTCAGCAGTTCCTTCCGTTCCTCTTGACCTCATCCGGTTTCTCCCCATTCATCCACTTCATCGTGTGCGTCTAAACAGTCTCTGAGGCTCCTGCTGCACCGGGCCTCAGAAGGTGGAGTCAGCAGCCCGATGCTCCGGCGCGCCATCGGCGACAAACAGGTGGAGTACCTGGACCTGGACCTGGACCTCCACACCGGGCGATCGACGGCAACCAGACAGGTGACACGACTCTCTCTCCTCCTCTCTGTAGACGTTGTGTTACGTGTTCAGTGTGTGTGGTCGTTCAGCCACTAGAGGGCGACAAAGCGAACTAGTACGCATTGTTTTTTTGCGTCGACAAATCGATCCGCCGAGTGATCCGCGAATCTTTTAACCAGAAACGCCGCACGGCCGAAGGCGGCGGCGGCGGAGGAGGCGGCGAGCCGGCGGCGGCGGGCGAGGAGCGCGCGCGCGTGGACTACGTGGTGGTGGACCCCAGGAGAACCAAGGCCCTGAGGAGCACCAGAGAAGCGTGGCACGATGGGAGGATGTCCACGGAGAAAGAGAAATGCCCGAGCTAACTGCCGCCGACTCCACGGGTCCTGCTGAAGTCAGCGACCTCCCCTCCAGGGTCACGAGGCCGACGGCCGACGTCATCAACTTCTAAACGACCATCACTTGGCTTTTCATATCATTTTGTGCGTAAACTCCCAGACGCGTGTCCGGGAACGAGCTCACTAAATTCCGTAGGATTCGTCTTCTGGGGACCACGAGTGCAAAATGTCCTCAATTACCTGTTTCAGGTGTCGTTGAAGACGTGGTCTGCTGGTGACTTCTGGGAAACACGCTGTGCGGCGTGTGTCTGCTGCGCTGGTCCTCTTTAAACACGTGACTGCTTAACACGAATCCAAAGGTGTGCGGTATATTTATGTACATATATACAAGTACAACAGAAAGTACAATGTCTCTGATGTAATACAGTATCAAGTACAATCATTACATCTAAAATGTACTATATTTAGTACAGCAAAAACTACAATATTTAGTTTAGATTCAGTACAATAAAGAGTACAATATTAAGATGTAGTGGAGCAGAAGTTTGAATCGTCATTAAATAAAAATACTCAAGTAACAAACAACACAATGTTCACTCTGATTCACTTCATCAGAACATCTAAACATCTGGTTTGTTTTCCTCAGTAAATACTTCACATATTTAAAGTTTTGGGGGTTTTAGGACTTTATTTCAGTCTTTAATGAACTGAGGTTTCATAACTGTCCTCCACCCTCCTACAAACACCACCTATACAGAGAGTTTTTATAAAGTGACCAATGATGAAATGCAGCCTGATCGTTTTGTGAATATTCCTCCGTATAAATGATCAGAATCTCTTTACGTGTCGATAAAGTGTTGATGGATCCTGAGACGATGTCTCTGTTTTTACTGAATCCAAGTCCATAACCGGACAATAGACCCTCTATAAATCACATCGCCCTGATGTTCTAATGCGACCGGACATAGAAAACAATTCTTTCCATCACGCCTGTACGTGTGTTATCCTTTGGTCACGTGTTGCGTGGCGTCTTTCTCTCTCTTTGTATTGACTTTAGAAACAACAGCTCATGAGAATAAAGTGAACATCAGCATCCAGCGCCTCCGTGTGACCTTGTTGCCTCGTAGAAGAATCAAACCACCTCCATGTGTTGCTGTTCTGACACATTGTTCACTTTTATTCTGCTTCCAAAATACATTCATTCAGAATGATTCACTCACAGACTGAATAAATGTTCTTCGGGGGTTTGATGAATTTACAGTAATCTGCCGTTGGATGAAATGATTACAAATCAACCCTCATGTTGTTTTGTTTCCCTGTTTACTGTAAACTTCCTCGCGGAGGTTCAAGCCATTTTTTTTATGAAGTGAGCAACCAGTTTACTGCTTCGTCGTTGTATTTTGGGTGATATTTGTGATTACTGTGGTGAGTTTCTTCTTATTTGGTCTCAGCTCTTTAAGCTCGTGTTCAGCAGGACGTCATAGCATGAAGAGCGACACTCGTCTGGGAGACTTA